GATGCACAAGAGATGCTACTGCAGACCAGCCACCTGCACGCATGACGTCGGCAACCAATACAACGAAGCCAACAGCGCGAAGATGCCGTCCTCAACCCCCGCGTGTGAGAGCGATTTGAGGAGCCACTCGGTCTCCAGGGGCGGGGAAGCACCCCCCAAATCATACAGTGCCATGACAGGATGCTCATATTTATTCTGAAAGCCACAAGCCCTCGCATACGAATCCAGCAACGTGATATTGTTGAGAAAGTTCCTGCCAACCAACAAGCCCCTCTGGGCCTCGGGCGATGTGGCTGCCACCGCCCTCTTGAGCTTCATGTTGGTTGCACTCGCCACTAATTTACAATCTGAGTTTTTCAATGCCAACGCTCTGGTAGTTGATGCCGTCCGAAAGGCTCCCGAAGTGTCGCCCGAGTCCTCCCTACCCTTCGGTAAGAACACCATGATATGCTCATTCTAATTCGTCGGTGGCGGCAGGCCAGCGGCCAAGTCCAGGGCAATCTCCTTCAGCGAATGCATTCCCAACGGCGACCTGCGCCACGCCTCATAAGGTAAACCATCAGGACCTGGAGCCGACGGCCGAGCGCGGCGGGCCTCCCCCATCAGCTGAGCCGCCGTCGGTGGGAGCACCTCAGAGAAGTCAAACTGCGTGCCGAACTTCGCAAGGTACTTGTCAGCAAGCTGGGCCCAATTGGAGCACCTCGGCTTGCGCTGAAACACGGGGCCCCAATGACGACGCAGCTCCAACGGCATATCCTGCTGCGAGTCCACCACCTCTCCGTCGCCAGGGAGACGGATGCCTGGGAGCTTGAGAGACCGAGCGAAGGGAGCCCAAAGCGAAGCCCTCCTGCGTAGTGCGCGACGTTGGGCATCTGGCTCGGCGCGCGCCCCGCGTTGCGCGAGAGCCGCCTCCCGCTCGCCCGAGAAGGCCTGCTGCTCAAGGGTGAATGCACGAGCGAAGGCGACTGTGTCACGAAGCTCCACTAAGTCCCCTGCTACGCACAAGTGCTCACGAGCAAGGGCTGAGGAAGACAGTAGCCGTTTCGCCAAGTGCGTATCATCCCTCCACACCGCACGAGCCATTGAGCGGAAGACCATTCATCTTGCCTCCGTCGACTGCGGGTTGCGAACCAACCGAGACCGCGCCATCCGGGCAGCCTCCTCCATAATATTATTGGTTACCCTGCGCTTGGACGCTGCAGTGAGAGAATGCCAAGCCACTTCAGACGCCATATTCTTGATGTACCGAGCGTAGTCAGGATCCTGGAAGATGAACGAAGGAATACGTTGCGTGTCTGGAGGCGCCACAGGCCTCGGAGCCAGTGCGAGCAAGACTGGAGCGTGATCGCTGATGCCCTTCCCGAAAAGAAACTCAGGGAAGTCGGGGGTAGACACTGCCATAAACCATTATTGAACAGCTTCCCAGCTCTGAGTCGATAAAAAGATGCGGTCGATCTGCGTCAACTTCGGCTGCTGTCCCTCCTGCGACACATAGTGGGTGAGCATCTCATTGCTCACCTCGAGGAGCATAGCGAATATGCGTTTCCATTCAGCTTCAGCCACATGAGGTACAACATCCGAGACAGGCCTACGTCGATCGATCTCGGGGGCATCTCGGGAGCGCGAGGATGCATGGGCAAGGCGGCATAAATATTGAAGTCGCCCAAGAAAATGATATATAGAGATCCTGTCAGGAGCAGTGTTAGCGAGCGCAACGTCTCGCGCGACCCTCTGTCGAAGCGACTGCACCTGCTGTCTCGTAATGCCGTAATTGTGTACATTGTAGATGACCGTGGACCCCACTGGGCGAGAGTCGCTGCTGATCCCAGAGATGCGAAGCCGCTGAATCCTGCCGGGCACCAGCTCCTCATGCCAGAACCGCGCCCGCTAGTGAACCCCCTTCTGAGAACATGGAATGATGATCGCAACCCCACCAGTATTACGCTGAGCACCAAAGGAAGATAAATATTGATGGGGAGTGTTGAATTTGAAAAGGTCCTGCTGTAGTTCCACCTCCGTCGCGCGAACCTCCTGCAAGGCCATGATTGTGCCCCGATAGAGAAACTGAGACAAGTACTTCATTTTATGCTGACGGATGGGCACGTCGTGATGCAACAGGGCTCGGGTGTTCCACGTCGCGAACGAGAGCGGAGCCTTCAGCTCACCTGCTGCCTTCCATGGAGCACAGCGACGGCTAAAGACTCCACGCGACCCTCTCAGACTCACCGAAAAGGCTGTTGAAGGCAGGGACCATGGCATCCTTGTCCAAGCCGGCATCATTGATAAGACGATAGTTCCACTCCAACGATGTCGCCTGCGTAGGGTCGTCTGGGACGATGAGACGCACGGCTGGAGTCGAGGCGCGGTACACCACGCCCTGCGATCGGTTGGCCCTCCATCGACCAGGTAGGTTGGTGTTCTTGACGAGCTCGAACAGCTTTTTGCACTGAACCTCACGGCGGATCTGGTGGCCGTTCTTGTCGAGATTGATGTAGAGCTCGTGGGCCTGCGACTCGGCGTCGCGGGCCTCGAACTTGCGCCACCCGCCACCGTCAGGCAGCTTGAGAGACTTGTGAGCGTGAACAACATGCTTCGCCGCCAGACCAGGAGCCCCCTTGAACGCGATCACATAACGTCGAGCAGGCGAATCACCCACAATATGCCACTGATCTTCTTTGAAACCAGCGCTCTCCAACCACGGGATAACTGCCTCTTTGACACTAGACGCAGAGACAGCAGCCTTCGTTGAGGCCACGAAGCATGTACGACTAGGCTATCGGGTGAAGCCTGCCACGTCGGCGTAGTCCGCCTGCGGGGCGGTCTGCTCACACTGATGGAGAATGAGCTTGAGCCGATCCAGCTCGGCAGCCATTTTGTGGTGTGTCTGCTCCAACGACGTCTGCCGCTGGTTGAGCTCACGAAGACGAAGGGCAGTCTCCTCATGCTTGGCCTCTTGCTGAACCGCAAACCAAGCAATCCACTTGAGAGATTCTCAGAATTCAGGTCCCCAGGAGAGGACAATCTATAACACAAAACAAGCGTTTCGCTCGAGACATCCTCATCAAATTCTGAACAACAAGCGTTTCGTTCGAGACATCCTCAATTTTTAATTCGCCGGCTCTACGCGACCTCGTTATTTATCGCAAAAGAAATTCGCCGGCCCTACAGCCGTCAAAACCGGGGGTAAACCTAATGAAAGAGAACCCTGGGCCTACGCCCTTTCCGGGAAAAACACACAAGACGATTTGTTGTGATTTGTATGTGTTGTCGTTGTCGCTGTTGTTACTGTTGTACTTGGTGTTCTGGCTGTGGTTGTTGTTGTTGTTGTGGTTGTTGTTGTGGTTGTTTGTGGTGTTGGTGTTGTGGTTGTGATTGTGGTTGTTGCTGTTGCTGTTGCTGCGGTTGTGGTTGTGGTTGCTGTGGTTATGGTTGTGGTTGTGATTGTGCTTGTGGTTGTGCTTGTGGTTGTGATTGTGGTTGTTGTTGATGGTGTTGGTGGTGTTGGTGTTGTTGTTGCTGCTGTTGCTGCTGCTGCTGTCGCTGTTGTTGTTGTTGTTGTTGCCGTCGTTGTTGTGGTTATGGTTATGGTTATGGTTATGGTTATGGTTGTGGTTGTGGTTGTGGTTGTGGTTGTGGTTGTGGTTGTGATTGTGGTTGCGGTTGCGGTTGCGGTTGTGGTTGTGGTTGTGGTTGTAGTTGTAGTTGTGGTTGTGGTTGTAGTTGTGGTTGTGGTTGTGGTTGTGGTTGTGGTTGAACATTATTACTTCTAAAGAATAATTATTGTTGGGACCCCTGGTGCACGACCCCCCTCCAAAACCTAGGCCGCAGCTACATTTTCATCATTTTTTCGCGAAGGCTTCAGAAAAGTGGATTGGTACCGGATCCGGTTGTTTTGTTGTAATCCGTTTTCCCTTGCAAAAAACACTATAAAATGAAAATTCTTGTTCTTACTTGATCAAATTGCAAGAATCCCTTGCAAAAAATAAGGTAAAGTGGACATTCGTGCGCGCAAGACGAAATCCTTCCAAAACCTTAGGTTTCGTAACCATTTTAACATAAAAACATCAAAAACCCAATGGTTTTTTTAATAAAAAATTGTCAAAATGTCCTTCCGCGCGCTCTTGCGGATTCCTAGGAAACCCACCAGATTTTAAACATTTCTGTTAAAAGGGCCTTTGCGAGGAACCTTTTCAGGTGCTTCGACCTTCTGCAACAACGGTTGCGAGCCTACGAGGGCCACCATCCCTTGCAAAAAATGACACGAAGTGCACATGCGCGCGGCCGCCGCGCGCGCGTGCCGAAATCCTGCCAAACATAATGTGTCATACGCAACAAATGCACCATGCGGGGCACATGCGGGGCCCAAACAAGTGATCAACCTCTGCGGGTGTGTACTCCACGCCAGTGTAGTATCCACGATCGTCCGCGCGCCACGAAGTGAAGTGTCCTGACGTCATAGGGCGGGAAGCTGGGTGTGGGTGGTTCCCGAGAGTCGTGTGGATGTTTGGTAGAGCTTGCATTGCCCCCCCACGAAGTGGGGGTATTGGCTGGCGTCGCATGAAAACCCTGGCACTGGGGAGAACACTGAGCGTTCGGGTAAAATGATTGTTGTTGTTGTTGTTGTTATTGTTGTTGTTGTTGTTGTTGTTGTTGTTGTTGTTGTTTCGATTTTCGGGCTCCTCCTCCTCCTCCTCTTCTTCCTCCTCCTTCTATCCGGGGGCCCAGATTGAGCCGGAGGGGGCCGAATAATCACGGCGGAAGGTACTCGCTTGCACAGTTTGGTGATACGCCGCCGTTCGAGACTGGAGGATATGGCGTGCGCAGGCTGAGGGATATGCGCAGAATTTCTGAGTCCAACTGGGCATGTCACTGTCCCTTCGCCCGCTTGAATTCATAATTGTTGCCCACGTCCGCTTGCGGACCGATTCAACTCAACCGTGTGCCTGTCGGGCTCCTGAGGCCTGGATTGAGCTGGACTGGGCCGTTTACCGACCACCAGCGCAGAAATACTCCATGGACGGCTCGCCGTTGAACCCCTCGAGTTCTGATTCGGATGGGGCGGGCAACTTCGAAGAGACAATAATGGCATAAACATAAACTTTCGGAGGTCCGCGTGGATTTCTCGGATCGGCGCTGGAGCCCACTGGCGGCGCCTCCGGCGCCGCTCCTCCTGGCGCGCTCCGTTCGCCAGAGAGGGGGGTCCAGCGCCGATCCGAGAAATCCGCGCGGATCTCCAGAAGGTTTTGGCGGGGAGGAGGAGGAGGAGGAGGAGAAGGAGGAACCGGAGGAGGAAGAGATGGAGGAGGAGGAGGAGGAGGAGGAGGAGGAGGAGGAGGAGGAGGAGGAGAGTAGGAGTAGGAGTCCAGGAGTAGGAGTAGGAGTAGGAGTAGGAGAGGAGGAGGAGGGAGGAGGAGGAGGAGGAGGAGGACTGCCCTAGCCTCCTCGCACTGCGAATCACGATGGGAGTACGTTCTGATACTTCCGGGCTCTGGGGCCCCCCGCTGGAATGCGGACCGGAGAAATGGTCCAGATTGGGACGAAGAACCGGTCCCGGGGAAGGGGCTCCTCCTCCTCCTCCTCCTCCTCCTCCTCCCCTCCTCCTCCTCTCCTCCTCCTCCTCCTCCTCCTCCTCCTCCTCCTCCCTCCCTCCCTCCTCCCTCCTCCTCCTCCTCCTCCTCCTCCTCCTCCTCCTCCCTCCTCCTCCCTCCTCTCCCTCCTCCTTCAGACCTCTGGGGGGTCCACGTTGCGAACAGAACCGCAACATCAGATTCTGGGGATCTGCGAAGGCCCAGGGGTGCCCCAACACGACGTATCCCCAGCGAGGAGCTGGCCTAAACAGGCCCCCCCGAGCAGTCCGAGTGTTGAGACTCAGCCGGGGCTACCTGGGGGGGCTGTCTGCGCGCAAGCCGAAGCCTTACCAGCGAGGATCGAAGATCGAGGATCGAAGATCGAGGATCGAAGAACGGGCATCGAGGATCAAGGTCGGGGATCGCAGATCGAGCATCGAAGACCGAACGTCGAGCATAGAGGACCGCGCACCCAGACATCAATCTGCTCCAATTTTGTTCAATGCGTGAGACCCGGAGGTCTGGACCACTTCCCTGGGACCGGCTTTTCGTCCTGATTCGTTTTTTGACGCTCCCGAAGCCTGGCGAGAGCCCCCGGAGGCCGAAAACGGCCAAAAACCGCCTGCTCCTGTTGGAGCGTCGGATCTCAGGGCATTCGCGATCGAGAACCGCGCAGGCCACCCAGGCCAGCGCGCCGTGCGCGCGCGGCGTGCCCCGCGACGACGTCAACCACGACGTCGCCGACGCCGACGCCGACGTCGCCGCCGCCGCCGACGACGACGCCGACGACGACGCCGACGCCGACGACGCCGAAGACGACGCCGCCGCCGACGACGCCGACGCTGGCGCGCCCTGCGCGCGCGGCGTGCCGCGCGGCGGCCACATCCGCGCCCTCCGCCTCGCACCGCCGCCGCCTCGGACAGCGGCGCGCTCGGCGGGCCCCGGCCGCGGGGGCGCGGCTGCCCAGCGCTCGGAGGATCCTCGACCCGCGACCCTCGATCCTCGACCCTCGATCCTCGGTCCTCGATCCTCGATGCTCGATGCTCGATGCTCGATGCTCGATGCTCGACCCTCGATGCTCGATCTTCGAGCCTCGATCTGCGACCTGCAACGGGGGCGCGCATCAAGAAACCAGATGCTTCCCGTCGGGGTGCCTTGGGCTTCTTCTCCGCGCACGCTGCGCGGTGGCTTTCTCGCGGGCGTTGAGAAGCTGCTGCACGCAGGGTGCCTGAGTCCCCCTAGTTGCATCCCTTGCCTTGGGTGATTCTCTGTTCCCCTCTCCTCCTCCTCTTTGCTCTTGCTGTGCTCTGTATTTTTCTGCTTCACAATCTACATGCGTGGCGTTTTGCGGCTTCGTACCCTCGATTCTTTGCCCAAGCGCCGCGCCGACGGCACCCTTGGCGCGCATTTTCAGAGATGGTTTTGTCGTGAAGGTTTCTTGCGGCCGCGTTCGCACTGCATCGGGCGCACGCTAACATGAAGAGGAGGAGGAGGAGGAGGAGAAGGAGGGGGAAGAGGAGGAGGAGGAGGACGAGGAGGAGGACGAGGAGGAGGAGGAGGAGGAGGAGGAGAGCCGATGCCGCCTGGTGTGGCGACGGAGCGCGTCGATGTTGTATGGAAGCGGGGCGCCTCGCTAATCCACGCGCCTTGACGCATGCTCGCGATTCCTTGAAAATGAGAAGGCGCAGAAGACAGATCAGGTTCCCGCCCGCCCCCTGGAAAGGAGCGACATTCCAAGACCATCCGGCTATGGAAACGATTCGGAAGGCGCCCAAGGTAGATTGGAATTTGGCAATCCGAAAATGCCCACTTCCAGCGAGCGATGGGTATCTTCGCGCCCCCGAGGGCGCCCTCGAAGATCGAGCATCGAAGGCCGAAAATCGAGGTTAGAACAACTTTCCAATAATTCAACCGCCAAACACCCGTTTCAGGCCACTGGTCAGAGGTCGAACTGGAGCTGAGCGGATTTTGGTCGGGGATGGAAGAAGATCTTCGAACTTCCAACTTCGATGATCGAATTTCACCAACGCGTTTCGTCTTGTCGGGCCTCCTTTGGACTCCTCGTCGCCGCTCTCCTCTCCATTTCCTCCTCCTCCTCCTCCTCCTCCGTTTCCTTTTCCTCCTCCTCCTCCTCTTCCTTCTCATTTTCTCTCCCCTCTCCTTGTTCCTCCTCTCTCCTCTTTTTATCCCTGCTCCTCCTCCTCCTCCTCCTCCGCCTCCTCCTCCTCTTCCTCCTACTGTTCCTCCTCCTGTTCCTCCTCCTCCTGTTCCTCCTCCGCCTTTTCCTCCTCCTCCGCCTCCTCCTCCTCCTCTTCCGCCTCCTCCTCCTCCTCCTCCTCCTCCTCCTCCTCCTCCTCCATCTCTTCCTCATCCGGTTCCTCCTCCTCCTCCTCCCTTTCCTCCTCTTCCTCCTCCTCCTCCTCCTCCTCCTCCTCCTTCCCCCCCCTCACCGTGGGCGGGGCGCGGTGGGGGGCCGGTCCAGGTAACACCAGTCTGGCGCCGGCCCTCCGCGGCGCGCGCGCGCGCGTGCGGTCGTCGCGGCTCGGCTGCGGCGGCCCTCGGCGAGTCGAGCGCGCGATTGCGCGCTCGGCGGCGGCTGTCAGCAGTGGCCCTCCGCGGCGCGGGCCAACCGGCTCGTCGCGGCGGCTCGTCGCGGCGGCCTTCGGCGATTCGGGCGCGCGTTTGCGCGCGCGCGCGCTCGGCGGCTGGGGGGGTTCGTCGTTCAAGGGGCGGCCTCTCCTCTGCGCCCTCCTCTTGAAAAGGGGAAGGGGAGGGGAGGAGGGGGGAGAGGAGGAGGAGGCTGGGGGAGGGGGGGAGAGGGGTGAGGGCAAGCTATAGGCGCGCTTGCGCCAGACCTGACGTCCTGCCGTTGAGGGTTGAGGGCCAAGAGCGGAGGGTTCAGGGCGGAGGGTGCAGGGTGAGGGGCGGGTGAAGGGCGAGGACAGGGCTGAACGCAGCAGATGGCGACGAACAGCACGAAGGAGCAGATGACGGAAATGTGACAATGACGAGGACGAGGGGCATTCCACCATGTGGTGCGCGCCTAGCTAGCCAACGACGTTCGCCGCCCCCCTCCTTCCCTCGATCCTTCATCTACCCTCGTCATGGTAGCACCCAGGGGGAAGTGAGAAGGGGCGGGTCTTCTGAGAAGGTTTGGACGTCCTTCAGCCTTCTGAGAAACTTTCTAAGCCTTCCTCGAAGACACAGAAAACCCCTCAAAGGCGCGAGGGCTTCTCAGCAACCCCGCCGCCTTCTGAGAAGGCCTTCTCCTTCTCACTCCCCCCCTTCGCTCGCCTCCGACAAACGTCTGATGTCTTCACTTTTTCAATGCGGGGTCCCCGAATGTTAGGTCGGGCATGTCCTCCTACAGGCGGATCTGAGGGGAAATAATGAATCAAAGCATATCCAAAAATAGTCAAAAGATCGTCCCCGGACTATTCCACATGTAGACCCAGACCCCCGACGTCGTGATTTTTTCACAACGTCGACCCCCGTGCAGAGGTCTGGACCCCTTCCCCGGGACCGGTTTTTCATCCCGAGTCGTTTTTTGACGGTCCCGAGGCCCGGCAAGGGCCGAAAATATAGCGAAACACCTCCCGCCTCGTGTTTTCTTTCACAGCGCGAGGAGCTCTGGGGAGGGACCTGCCCGACTTCACCCTGGTGCCCCGACGCATTCCGGGCCGGCTCTCCGCCCCCGAGCCGTCTTCGGACCGCCCCGGAGGGCCCGGCAGGGGCCTCCGGAGGCCGAGACCGGCGAGCAGCCCCGGCGCTGAAGCTCCCCATGCTCTGGCAGCCGGACCAGCGGCGACGGCGACGACCCGCCCGGCCGCGCGCGAGCGCGGGGGGCGGGCAGGCACCGCCGGGGTAGGGCGTGGTCGTGACCTCGGCTGCGAACGCCAGCGCTTACCCCCCCCCCCCGACGGGAGGGGAGGGGCCCTCTGGAGTGCGCGACTGAAGGTTCTTGTTGAACCCCGCACTGTACACTGCACCTCTCCCCTCCACCTCCAGTCCCATCGTCGACGATGCTCGTTCGATGCTGCACCGTAGGCAGTTTGGCCCGAAGAGCTCCAAGGGGGCGAAGCGCGTGTCCCCAGGAGTCCCGACCCTTCCCTGGGGCCCGGCTTTGCCTCCCGAAGCATCTTTTGACAGTCCCTTGGGCCCAGCGACGGCCTCCGTAGGCCAAAAACCGCGAAAAACATCCGCATCGAGTTACTGGAGACTTTGGAGGTCTGTGAGAGGGGCTGGGGGCTGGGGGGGGAGTGGGGCGTGTCGGCGGCGAAATCCGAACCCCACCCTCGCCGATCAACTATTTGGGCAGCTCGATGGGCGGCGGGGGTAGGGTTCGATGGCTGGTGGGGGTACAGCTCGGATGTCGCCACCAGAGTGTTTCGTGCGCCGGGGGCTCTCCTCCCTCTGGCTCTCCTCGTCTTCCCACTGGTCCCCCGTCCTCTCCCCCCCCGCCCGCCTCCTCACTTCGGGGGGCCTCCCACAGGGGGCAGGTGACTTGGGGGGCACGGTCGGGATGTCGCCCCCCGGCGCGTGCTCCAGGCGCTCAGCAACTCCGGCCTGCACAGCGAGGACCTGAAGGAGCTCTTCCCTGACCTGGCTCGGGCTTGGGCTCGGCCCGCCCCGACCCCGAGAGCTCCTTCAGAGAAGCCCCGGGCGGCAGCACAGAGGAGGGCCCAGAGGCCCCCTCGCGCCGCGACACAAACAGAAAAGCCACGGGCAGTGCTTGCCCGCTCTCGGCCTCCGGGGGCCCTCGCCGGAGCCTCTTGCTCTTCTCGCTGGAGACTCGATCAAAGAACGCACGCGGGTCCTGGAAATTTGTCGTCGTTTTCGGGCTTCCAAGGCCCTCCACGGGCCCGAGGTCCGGCAAAAAACCGCTCGGGATGACGAACTAGTCCCGGGGGAAAAGCCCGCTGGTATCTAGGACGCAGGCGGCCCTCGGCGGCGGCCCTCGGCGGCGGCCCTCGGCGATTCGAGCGCGCGCTTGCGCGCGGTGTGGATGCTGCGAGGCCCTTTTGGACGTCCAAGCTGAGGCCTCCTGGCCCAGCCGCACGCTCGCACCCGCGGGGGTCGGGCAAGCACCGCCGGGGGCGTGGTCGTGACCTCGGAAGCGTTCACAGGCCTCGCGCTCCTCCTCCTCCTCCTCCTCATCCTCCTCCTCCTCCTCCTCCTCCTCCTCCTCCTCCTCCTCCTCCTCCTCCTCCTGTCGAATGCAGCTTTGTTCCAGCACAATTTGTTTGAGCGGACCGTCGCTGATGGAGATATGATGTTACCTACGGGCAGCGGTGTATTTCGTAAGGAGTGCTGTGGATTGGGATTCCCCTGCCCTTGCTGGGAGTGCAGTGGATCGTTTGCCTTCTGGACTCGCTGGGGGTGCTGTGGATCGCTTGCCTCCTGAGCGCGCTGGGAGTGCAGTGAATCGGGTTCCTCTAGAGGACGCTGGGGGTGCAGCTGTTCGTGTACCTCCTGTAGGCGTTCGGAGTGCTGTGGATCGGGTTCCCCCAGTGGGCGCTGGGAGTGCAGTGGCCTGTGTACCTTCTGATGGCGTTCGGAGTGCAGTGGATCGTGTTCCCCCCGCTCGCGCTGGGAGCGTGGTGGATCGTCCACTGCGGGAGGCTCGGGGGGGAAGGTCGTGAGCCGCGAGCTGGAGGAAGCTCCCTGTTGCGCCGCCGCTGCCCTCCCCCCTCCCGTCTATCATACTCCTCGTCCTCGTCCGCTGTCCGCTCCTCGTCGCCCTAGTTTCAGAGAGCTGGTGAACTTGGCGACTCGCCGGTGCCCCCGACAGGCCCGAGGGGGTCCTGGGGCGCTCGCTCGTCCTGAATCGTACTTCGTCGTCCGAGCTTGTCGGTTGTGGTCGAGCGAGAACAGCTCGGGGCTCCCGCCGTAGGGCCATCAGGTCGCAGAGCTGAATGTCATCGGATTATGGTGTAAGCTAAGGCTTTTTCGACCTTCGGCCCGACACCATTTCGCCGCCGCCGCCGCCTCCGTCCTCCTCCCCCTCCTCCCTCCACCTCCTCCTCCTCCTGCTCCTCCTCCCGCTCCTTCATTCCATCTCTTCCTGCCCCTCCTCTCCACCTCAACGTGCTCATTGCGTTGGATTTCTTAACAAGCGTGCCCACCCCCCCGCCGGGTTCAAACTCGCACCGTTGGCGCCACTCGCCAGGGGATCGATTTGGGGATGTCGGCGAGGATTGCGCCCCTGGTATGGATACAAACTCGGGGATATGATTCCTAGCGGGCGAAGAACTGTATGACAGAAACTTCCCCGACGCCCTGGGACAGGCGCCCCCGAGACGAAACATTTGGATGTGCACCGTTGTCTCTGCGTTTGATTGCAAGACCGCGAGCCGCCCTTTCCCAGACATCCGACGACGTGACTTTTTGAATGCGCGGCCCCAGCCTTCCCCAGGGGCAGTCGTTCGTCCCAGATCCATGCTCGATGGTCCTGGGCCCCGACGACGGGGCAGAGAGGCCGACATCTAGGAAAGCAGCCGGGATTGAAATGATCATACCGTCGGAGACCTAGGCTTTCGGGTCGTAACTCGGGCCTCTGGCGGCCGTTCGGGACGACTCCTGGGATTCAAATAATTATTCGTATGGGGTTGAAGGCATGAGGTGGAAACATATGGGACCCAAAAACATATTCCGGGCTCGGGAGGCGCGATCTGTGTGAGAGGTGTGCCAAACTTTGTCAAGCAACCCACTAGCCAACCAACCAACCGACCATCTCGCCAGCCAACCATGCAATCAACCAGCGAACCAACCAACCGCTCAATGAACCTGGAAAACATCGTTTTGAGCCGACAACTGGCCGAAGATGCCGACGACGACAACGACGACGACGACGACGGGGACGACGGGGCCAGGGACGACGGGGACGACGACGACGATGACGACGGCGACGAGAACGACGACAACAACGACGACCGCGGAATGGAATGGAATGAAACGGGAAGCGGAATGGGACGCGATGGGAATGGATAGAACTATAATTAATAAAACGTAAGGAGGACAGGAACACCGCCAGGCGGCAGTGGCTTCGATCCGTTCCCGTCCATTCCAGTCCAATATATTGTATTCAAGTCCATTCCATCCCATTTCATCGCATCGCATCGCATTATCTCCATATATATATATATGTCGCTCCGTCGTCGTCGTCGTCGTCGTCGTCGTCGTCGTCGTTTTCGTCGCCGTCGTTGTCGTCGTCGTCGTCGCCTTCGTCGTCGACATCGTCGTCCTCGTCGTCGTCGTCAACGTCGTCGTCAACGTCGTCGTCGACGTCGTCCTCGTCCTCCTCCTCCACCTCCTCGTCGTCGTCCTCGTCCTCGTCCGTCGTCGTCGTCGTCGTCCTTGCCCTCGTCCTCCTCGTCGTCGTCGTCGTCGCCGTCCGCGGCGTTGCTGCGTTTTAAGTCGAGTGTCTTGTTCCCCCCCCCTGCCTTCCCAGGTGGCGAGAATGATAGAATTGCATGCTTCCCTCCCGCGGCGTTGCCACGTGAAGGGTACCATGGAATAGTCGTATGGTTCGGCTCCCAGGCGTTGCCACGTGGCGCGTGGAATGGAACTATACTCTTCTCGGCTCCGCGGCGCTGCCACGTGACGTGACGAGTAGTACGGAGTACTCTTTTCCTCGCCGCCCCCCCTCCCCCTGGCGTTGCCACGCGGCGAGTGGAGTGGAATCGCATGTTTTGCTCGCCACCCCCAGCGTTGTCACATGACGAATCGTGGAATCATATTTCTGCCCCGAAGCGTTGCCATGTGACGTGAAGGATTCTCCGTCTCTGCTGCATCATATTGAATCTGCATCGCACTGAATTTCGATGGATTGCATTGGCATTGACTTGCGTTGGCATTTTATTGCAGTGCAGTGCAGAGCATTGCGTTGCATTGCACTCGCGATTACATGAAATTTCGTTTACAGAAAAGTCGAAGGCGAGTTGGCCACCAATAAACGCCAAAGTGGCCAACCAACCAACCGATCAACCAACAAACCAGCCTACCAACCAACCAGCCAGCCAACCAGCGAACCAACCAACCAACGAACCAACCGATTCTTCCCGGGGCATTTTTCAATGTTCCACGCCGCGTGGCCCAGATGAGATTTTGTTGACCCAGCAGCCAGCCAACCAACCAACCGGCCAACCCTTCCAGAAATAGATGTTTTCACCCAGCAGCCAGCCAACCAACCAACCAGCCAGCCAGGCCACACTTTGGGGCGTTTATTTCATGCTGTCTCACACGGCGGGCCCTGGAATCAATTTTCTTGGCCCAGAATAACTTGTTCTCATCCCGGAAGACAAATGTTTACAGCCCCCAGAAAATAATGTGTCGTCTCCCTTCTTCCGTTCGGGACGATCTGGGCCCCCCCCGAACCAACTCGGCGAGGCGCAGCTGCGAAGAAGCATCCAGAGGCGAGACCACCTCCACAAAACAGCGAGAATTCGATGGATGAAGAAATAACTGCATAAGCAAAAACGTTCGGAGGTGAACTTTGTGTTTGCCTTTGCCTTTGGTTTTTCTTACGCACATTTGGGATCTGCGAGTTGCAGAATCGGGATCCACCGAAGGGGGGGGGACCCTGAGGGGGGCATGAGTTCGATCCGCTGGTGCACCGAACTGCCGCAAACAGGTGCCACCCGTATGCCCCACCTATCGGCGACTATCGGGGGCTGCCAGCGGCTGGGGGGCATCTGTTTTTGGCGGCTCGGTGCAAAAACCGATCGAACTCCCCCCCCCTGGGGGCCCCCCCCCTTTGCGGAGTGGAACCCGTAGTCTTCGACCTGGCCCCCTTAGCCGGAGTGCGTACCAACTCCTTTGGTGTTGGGTCCTCGTTTTGAAGAGACAGCGCCCCGCGTTCCTCTCTCCTCCTCCCCCTCCTCCTCTCCTCCTCCTCCTCCTCCTCCTCCTCCTCCTCCTCCTCCTCCTCCTCCTCCTCCTCCTCCTCCTCCTCCTCCTCCTCCTCCCCCTCCCCCTCCTCCCCCTCCTCCTCCTCCTCCTCCTACCCCTCCTCCCCCCTCCTCCTCCCTCCTCCTCCGCCCCATTGCGGGATCCCGACAGTAGGCGCCCGACCTTCGCCGGACTGGACGTCGTGCTGCTGGGCGCGTGGTGCGCGTGGTGCGCGCCGCCCGGCGCGTGCCCCTCGTCGGTGTGGCACACGTCCTGCCGGACGCGGCCCCACGGAGAAGCGCGCGGCGGGGAGGGGGCGCCCCAAATCTCCGACGACTGATTTTTCAGTCCAGGCGTTTTTCCTCGACTTCGGCGTCTGGGGCCCGTTGACGGGCCTCGGGGCCCTCGAAAACGGATCCGGGACGCGAAGCCAGCCCCAGGGAAATGGTCAGGACCTCCAGACCGCGGATTGGACCAATCATGTCGTCGGATGCGTGGGTTCGACGCCTACTGGCGAAATCGTCGGCTTTCCAACCTCGGGGTGCTCTCCAGCACCTGCGCCTGGTCGAGAGCGTTCCTGGGTACCCCGGGTTGTTCCGAACGGCCGCCGGAGGCCCGCGTGGAGGCCCGAAAACCAGACTCACGCCCAGTGTGGGCCCTGTCAAAGGCTCAGCAAATTCCTCTGGCCTTCTGAGAAACTCTCTAAGCTTACTCACATGAGGGCCCCCCAAAAGGCCGGAGGGTTTCTGAGAAGCCGTGCCACCTTCTGAAAAGGCCTGCTCCCTCTCACCCCCCGCTTCGGCACGCCGCTGAGCGAGAGATAGAAAGAGAGACCAGCGGAGCATGGAAGAGAGGAAGGGGGCCCCCCTCCCCCCCTTTGAAAAAATCCTGTGGGGGGGGGGGGGAAGAAGCAATGAACCCTCCCCGCCCCTTACCTTCCTCAACGGGCGCAAAGGCTGGGGGGGGTCCGGACCCCCCCCCCGCCGGTCCAGGACCCCCCCGCCTCCCCCCTCCGCAATAGCGACGACGACGACGCCGACGCCGACGACGGCGACAACGTCAACGGCGGCGGCGGCGCACCTGTCGCTGGTGCCCGCGCCAGGCGCCGGCACTGGTAATGCCACGAGTGGTCGATCCAGTTCCCTCAAAGACGTATTAGTGTTCGGTCCAGCTGCTCATATGGAATCCTGCTAACAGAGCTGGATTCAACCTTCATATAGTCCGATGAAGGCTCGATCGAGCCCACATCAAATCCTACAAAGGCTCGGCCCAGCTTGAATACAATCCTGCGGGGACTGGCTCATCTGGATCCAGCTCACACGGAGACCCACTGAAACTCAACTCAACTTTTGTAAATTCCTATCAGGGTTCCCAAGTTCCTCTTAGAGCTCGATCCAACTCCAGTGGAATCGATTATGCGTGAATACAGCTCTGAACATATGTTAGTAGGGGTCGATCAAACTCTAATAGAATCCCACTGATGCTGGATCAACTGCAATGTAATCCGACTAGGGCTCGGTCCGGCTCTAGAAAACATCCTCCTAAGGGTCGCGCAAGCTCTCGCAAAATCCTATTCGGGCTCGATCCAGCTCTGACAGAATCCTACGAGGGCTAGATCCAACTCTAATAGAACCTTACTGAGGGAGGAATCCACCTCTAATAGAAACCTGCTGCGGCTGGGTCCAGCTCAACTAGAATCATATCAGAGCTGGGTCCAAGACTGATAGCAATCTACAAAAAAACTCGATCCAGCTTTGCTGTACAATCTTTATAGAATTGGATCGAGTTCTGACGCAGGGCTCCATCCAGATTCTCCATCCATTTTTGATGTAGCCCACCTAGGACGAGATCCAGCTAGAATCCGAGTAGGGCTCGACCCAGCATTAACAGAATCCTGCCAGTGCTCGATGCAACTACTAAAAACGCATTCCGCTGGGGCTCGATCTTCATCGTCGTCTTCGCTTCATAGGCGTCGTAGGCGTCGTCGTCGTCGTCGTCGTCGTCGTCTTCGTCGGTTTTGTCGTCGTCGTCGGCGGCGGCGGCGGCGTCGGCGTCGGCGTCGGCGTCGGCGTCGGCGTCGGCGTCGGCGTCGGCGTCGTCGTCGTCATCGTCGTCGTCGTCGTCGTCGTCGTCGTCGTCGTCGTCCTCGTCGTCGTCGTCATCGTCGTCGTCGTCGTTTTTCGTCGTCCGTCGTCCTCGTCCTCGTCGTCGTCGTCGTCGTCGTCGTAGTCGGTCGTCGTTGCCTGGGCGGGGGAGGATTCTGGACCCCTCGAATAATCCCACCAGCCCTCTGGGCGTAGGTGGTCTAGAGCAGATCCTCTTCCACCCCTCCCTCTTCCCCCTTGGGGAGGGGTTTACCCCTCCCCCTACCCCCTCCCCTGGACCTGGACGGGGGGGGCCGCGGGTAGTTAGAGCGTCCCAGATGGCCCAAGACGGCTCCAAGAGCGCCTCAGAGAACCCAAGATGAGCTCCAAGATGGCTCAAGATAGCGCAAGATCGCTCGAGATGGCTCCTAAGATGGTTCCAAGAAGCCCAAAGACGGCCCCAAGATAACTCCAAGTGGCCAAACAGCTCCCCAAGGAGGCCCCGAAGAGGCCAAAATCGTCCCAAAACCTAAGGAAAATCAATGATTTTTGCTTTCTCGCCTTTTCGCTTCCGATGGCCATCCGAGGCCTGGAGATGGTTCCAAGATGGCCCAAGAGGGCCCCAAGAGAGCCCCAAAAGAGCCCCAAGACGGCCCCAAGAGCGCCCAAGAGCACTCCAAGAGCGTTCCAAGAGGGGTCCAAGAGGCGATTTTAGGGGCTTCCGAGGGGGGACGCTAATTAAACCCCCCCTCTTGTTTGATCGATCTCCTCCAAGATGGCCCCAAGAAGCGCCCAGGAAGCCCCAAGAGGTCCCAAGATGGCCCCAAAATGGCCCCAAGAGGCCCCCAAGAGGCCCCCCGGAGGCCCCCAAGAGACCCCCAAGAGGCCCCAAGAGCCCCCCCAGATGCACCCAAGATGCTCCAAGAGGCCTCGGCGAGAATGCCTAATCATTGATTCTACACAGGTTTTAGCCACATGGAGGCCTCTTGGGGGGGGGCACGGATTAAGATGACTCCAAGAGCGTCTGGGAGAGCCCAAAATGACCTCCAAGATGGCTCAAGATATCCCAAGATGTCTCATAATGGCTTCCTCTGTGTGCTGCCCACTTCTCTGATCGAGGCAATTCCTCTGGGCATCGTTTCTGGATGGGCTGGTGGGGATTCGCGAAGCGACAACAATTTTGCTGGGCGGAGGGGGGTTCTGGACCCCCCCGAATAATTGTCCGGGGAGGAGAAATCGAACCCCCCCCTCCTCTGCCAGCAGCGGCAGACAGCGCTCTTTCAGATCGCACGCTGGGAGCTGGGACTACTCGGGGAGCCCGTTGAGGCCAGCTGGGACTACTCGGGGAGCCCGTTGAGGCCGGCTGGGGCTTCCTGGGGAGGCTGTCTGCGCGCAGCCCGAAGCCTTGCCAACTGGCAGCCCTTCAGGCAGGACGCTTGGCTGCCCGACCAAACTCTCTGTCGAGCTGCTTCGTCCACCCCTCCCGTCCTCTCCCCTCTACGGTAGCTTCGTGTCGTGTCGACCCGGGCGTTGGCTCCTGACACCGCGGGGATCGTTCAAACTTGAACGATCGGCCGCTTCCACAACGCCCGATCCTTCAACATCGACCGGTTCTGGGTCGGCGGCGGCGTTCAATGTTGAACGTCGGCGGCGGGGTCGCCGCTGGTCGACACGACGCGAACCTACAGCATCCCTGTTTTGACGGTGGTGTCCCTCTCTGGCCGTTTGCCTGCAACGATGCACCCCCGCCATCGCGGCGCCACTTCGCTTTTGAACCGTCGTTGGATTCACTGGCTGATGATACGACACGTGTTTTCAATTCCTGTCCTGCCTATGCGAATAGACATGCTGAAACTGACAGGCGCACGCAACTCTGATTTTCTGGAGATGCGCCGTTGAGCAATACAGCAAGGCCAGACGAAGCAGGAGCAGAGACAACGTTGCAGGCTTGGCTGATTGTTGTGGTGGGGAAGATCCCCCTCCTCCTTCTGCTTCCCCCCTCCCCGTCCCCTATTCCCCTTCCTTCTCCTCCCCGTCCTTCCCCCCTTCTCCTCCACCTCCTCCCCAGACACCCAAGGTCCGATTTGCTCAGCACGTCGACACCCAGAGAGGAGGAGGAAGGGCAGGAGGAGGAGGATTTCTGCAGTGCGCGTCTACAAGCCAAACATCCTAAGGGTCTGACACATAGGCTTAAAAAATCAAGGAGACTATAGTTCAATCTCGCCGTCTGGGTGAGGACCCCAATCCTTGCACAGCTTCTTCGGGGGGAGGCCTCGTTTGATCCTCTGCAGCCCCTCACGCTGGTAATTTGTGAGATTTGCTACGCCTTTGGCCAAGGCGTCGCACGGCTCCAAAAGAAGCCTTGGAATCCTCTGCGACCAGCATCCGCATTGGCCACAGAAGCTGAAGGAACCTTTTACCCAACAGTCATGGGTATCGTGCACCTGCCGACCCGCCAAGAGAAAGGGGCGCGGCACTCGGGCAGGAGGTTCTGCCATGCCGAGGCGCTCCCACAAACATTCGTCGACAACTTCATCGGTCAACTGGGAACGCTTGCCGTCGGCCTTGCGCCCGCGGCGGAGGTCCCCAGGGTCCTCCTCCACCGCATTTGTCGCAGTGGTCGCACAGGAAGAGCGGACTATGCGAAAGAATCCTGTGGACTTCCTTTTGACACAAATACCACAGCCCTGGCACCTCCAGCCAAAAATGGTGGGCACAAGTGCATGCGCAGCACTGTCTATCACTGCCACTGTGGCCGCCCTCCGCCTCAAGAGCTGCGAAACACGTGAGCGCACGGGCTTCCTGGCAGGGTTCCGGGGCCGAGCGCACACCTCCAAGCAGATGGTGGCATTACGCTTCAAGACGGCCACCGCCTGATCGACTAGATCGGTCGCATCCATGACTGCACGCGGTGGTAATTGACAAAGCTCCGCCCTATGAGAGGCAAGGGCGTCAGCAATGCAATTCATTAAAAGAAAATCTGAATTAGCAGAAGGAAGGTGTTTGTTGAGTTTGGCTTCATCTTCCGCCAGATGACTCGGAACGTAATCCAAAGTGAAACGAGCGCTCCTCCCACGAAGCGCCTGCCAAAACACAAACCGAAGGTCGGCGTTCTGAAGGCTCAGGGTGTGATGGAACCCTTTACGGAACGCTTTGACATGGTTTTCATGGTCTGTGACTACGAGAAGGTCGTGGTCAAGCTCTACGCGGCGAACAACCTCGATAATAGCAACCAACTCCGCTCTAGGCACGGTCTGCCGCCTTCCCTCCGAATTGCCGTGCCCTCCCATGTCCCAATCGGGCTCTGGACAGGGACGGCACAATCGGGCAAAGGCAAACGAGCAACGCCTGAGCAACGGGTTGGCCGCCAGCGGGCCGCCAGAGCCATCGGTGCCATATGTGCCACCAGGCAAGCTACGGTTAGCAGCGGCCCTGACCAAAGTCACCTCCCGGAGCTCGGGGGGGTCAGGGATATCGAGCCAGCTCGAGGGGATAAGTCCCCTGCACCAGAAAATGGGTGCAGCGGGAGCCTCCTCATGGGCTTGGTGCCTGAGGTGGTTGGTCTCTTGTACTAATGGGCTGTCAGCTACATCGTTGCACATACATCCCCAAAACCTATGAATGGAGCAATCGGCGAGACGATGGCACCGCTCGCAAATGGCATTCACGACCAGCTTGGCGTCCGCTAGTCGTTGCTCTGGCCAGTAGCCCCCACAGGCAACAAGACGAACCATGCCAGCAAGGGAAGACTCGCCTTTCTCCTCCAAGGAACGAAGGAGGCACGGCACGTGTTGCCAGTAAATACCTTCAGCCGCTCCTCTACCATCATAAATCTTGGATGCCTCGCGCCACTGGCGAAGCTCAATGCCATCGCTGACAGCCTCCAACAAGGAAGTAATTGGACCCTTCATGTCATCAACGCGGCTCCACGTCTCACCATCTGGATCAACGAAGCGATCAGGGCCAGGCACCGCCCATCCGATGGACAACATGGAGGCTTGGAACGCAGCCATGGGCCCCTTGACATACCGCCAGCCTTTGCCAGCAACAGCCAAAGATGCTTCCCAACAAGCCCTCACTCGTTCAAGGAGGGGCGGCCTGTGTGCCAGCCTCGTCAACCAGGCCTGCAACAATCTCTTGAAATAGACCTGCACTGGGTCCCGCCCATCGCCATATGTGAGGCGGATGGCGGTCGTGGCGCAGGTCCCTTTCTGCGAGGACCTGGAGCATGCGTGAGCCATGGACCTTAAGCGTCTGAGCATGCTGGGAGAGAGCCCATGCACCTCCGGGGCCCACATGGCCTTCGAATGAACGTTTGTATAAAATAACTTGCTGGCTCCACGGTTCGACGAAACAAACCGGCTCACCTTCCGGGTCGCACGCCCCCCCTTCTCAAAACGTTTCTGGCGAACCTTGGTCACGCGCCTAGTGCCGAATGAGGTGTCGTGACCAAGGTCCCGGGCGTCTGGAGCACCCTTGATGCCCCTGAAGCCCTCCTTCTCAGCGGCAATCACCAACTCCTGGCGGACGGCCACTGAGGAAGAAAGGAGGCGGCACTTATCAAGAGAAAGCTCGCAATGGCGCCGCTGGAGACCTATGAGAAGAGCGCGCAAAAGACTCGGAAATGTAGCACAAATACTGGCATGGGTGCCGAACAATCGAAAGGAGATGTCGTCGACCCATTCCCTGAGGCTCAGCCCGCTGACTGAAAGGGTAGCAGACTTCATGGGCTCATGCAGGTACGCCCTAGCCGACTGACGGCTTGGCCGCACCCGGGCAAAATGCCTCCGTGGGGAAGAATGCCACTGTGGACTGCGCCTGAAGACGTGAGCATCCGCACGCCCAGATAGGCGTCCATAGCTAGCACCAGCAACCTCAAGGGGTACCGCGAGGCTTTCGAAGCCTCGATCAGGTCAGGAACGGCGACTTGATCGTAGAACTTGCGTAAATCGAGAAGGCCACCACCGACTTCGAACCCAAGGTGGCGAGCCAACTCTGTTTCCAACTCGTCGAGCCAACCGGCCACTTCCGCCGAGGACCCAACCGTTTTGTCCCAAGGGCCCGCAGCAGTGCGATTCCAAATCGAGACATACGGCCGACGAATACGACTGAGAAGGACATACACGAAGCCCATGAGGGCTATTGGGCGGAGCCCGCCATTCTCTTTATCGATGAACGCAACGAGGCTGACAAGCTGTTGCAAGGGAAGAGTGGCATGGCGTTCGACCTCCCCCAGAAGACCAATAAAGACAAACTTGGCTTCTTTGCTAGCTTCCTTTCGCAGCCGGGGATTAAAGGCATCAGCGCCCCTGCCCCTGGCATCCGGAATCGTGGCCAGAGTCGCATCAATCAGATCTAAAGAGATCGGCTCCATCATGGGCGCCGCCTGGGCCTCAGAGCGAAGTGACGCAAGTGATTCCAAGGCGGGCAGAAGGAGGAGGAGGAGGAGGAGGAGGAGGAGGAGGGAGGAGGGGAGGAGGGGGAGGGGGAGGAGGAGGGGGAGGGGGAGGAGAGGGGGAGGGGGGAGAGGAGGGGGGAGGAGGAGGAGGAGGAGGAGGAGGAGGAGGAGGAGGAGGAGGAGGAGGTCTGGATTCCTTCCCTGAGATCTCACCCCGAATTGCCCTTTGGTTGCCGGGTCGAGGGGCACGGTGAAGGCCCCCCAGAAGCCGAATCTTACCAGAAACCTTCCGTCGCGATCTCTTCACACCGCGAGGATTTCAGGGTTCTTCCTTTCTCCTCCCCGTCCTCCTCCTCATCTTCGTCCTCCTCCTCCTCCTCCTCCTCTCCTCCTCCTCCTCCTCCTCCTCCTCCTCCTCCTCCTTCCTCCCTCATCATCATCATCATCATCATCATCATCATCATCATCATCATCATCATCATCATCATCATCATCATCATCATCATCATCATCCATCATCCATCATCCATCATCCATCATCCATCATCCATCATCCATCATCCGCATCATCATCATCATCATCATCATCATCATCATCATCATCATCCATCGTCCATCATCCATCATCATCATCATCACCGTCCATCATCCATCATCCATCATCATCATCATCACCCATCATCCATCATCCATCATCCATCATCATCATCCATCATCATCCACCATCCATCATCATCATTCATCATCATCATCCATCATCCATCACCCATCACCCATCATCCATCATGCATCATCAGCGCCATCATCCATCATCCATCATCCATCATTCATCATCATCGTCATCTATCATCCATCATCCATCATCCATCATCATCACCATCATCATCCATCATCATCATCCATCATCCATCACCCATCACCCATCATCAATCATCCATCACCCATCATCCTCATGCTCATCCTCATCCTCATCCTCATCATCATCCATCGTCCATCATCCATCATCCATCATCATTGTCATCATCATCATCATCATCATCATCATCCTCATCGTCATCGTCATCGTCATCGTCATCGTCATCGTCATCGTCATCATCATCATCATCATCATCATCATCATCATCATCATCATCATCATCATCAACATCATCATCATCATCATCTTCGCCATCCTCCTCCTCCTCCTCCTCCTCCTCTCGCCGAGCCGTGGCGGGTGTCCTTGTAGTCAGAGCAGCAGCTGTGGTGTGAGTGGCAGTCTGCGTTGCACTGGCACTTCCTCCGCGGGTCGAACTCCGTGCCGCAGCCTGCCACGCGCGCCGAGGTTGATGCCCGGGCTAAGGAGGTCGCCAAGACCATGACGACTTGTGCGGAGGGGGTGAAGGGGAGGGGAGAATGGAGAGGGGAGAGGGGAGAGGGGCCAGCTAGATGCGCTCGTGCCATCTGTGACATCCTACCCCTCCTACCCACCCCTTCCCAGTGCGTGGACGGGTGTCACAGTGGACCTGGAACCTGCAAATGGACGAAATCGTGCTATGCGCAATCAGAACATGGGACCTGTGTACATTGAAGGAAGATGTGGCGAATGAGCAGTAGGATGAATCAGGGGAGTAGGAGCGTGAGGATGAACAAGAGGAGTAGGAGGAGTGTAAATCCTGCAGAATTCCGGCCTCGCCTCTCACTCTGAAATTCTGCAGAAGCTCAGGCAATCCAATGCCACAGCAGCCGAGAAACCCTGTTGATCTCGGCGCGTCGTGTCGTGGCATAGCTGGAGCTGCTGGCGGTGGTGAGGGAAGTGGGTCGATCACTCGTGGAAGAGGCCGACGTGCTGGTAAGTCCAACGCTGATCCAGGGCATGAGGACACCAACGCAAGATTGCGGTTGCACACCACCACTTCTCCCGAAGAAGAACTGAACATACCCGTCGTGTGTGGCAAGATCGACAAATAACAACTCTGGTGGAACAGGAAGGGTACAAAAAGGGCACTGGGCGATCCCCGAAGGCTGTGCAATCTTGTCCGGTTGGTTGGATCAGAACTACAGAGAGAAGCATCAATCCTTTGGTAATGCTGTTTGGATTCCTGCACGAATCGTTAGGAATTGCAGATGCGAGTGTAATGCGTGGAGAGCCCTTGTTTTGAATATTCTGGAAATCTGTCCCGACTGAGGAACGAATCGTTTAGGAACGCGCAGGGGACCCGTTCAGGAGGGAAGTCAGAACACACTCTAGACCACTCCACAGTGATACTCTAGACCTGGTCAGAAGCTTTATTACACTGGGTAGAAATACCTCTCTTGAGAAGTGAAGACATCTAAACGATAACAAAACGTTGTGAAGAGGTTGGAAACGGAAAACGAGGGAGGAGGAGGAGGAAGATCTGGGTGGCGGGCCCTTCCCCAGGCCTTCGCCAGGGGGGAAGGGTCAGAAAGCCATCGGGTAAAGGAAGAAGGACGACGACCGAACAGCGGAGACCACTGCAGGAAGATCGCAGGGGAAGCGGGGTCAGAGCTGGATGCCCCATAGAAGGTGGGTCAAGAGAGGGGTGTCAGGGCAAATTCGCTCAGAATCGGTACCCAGACCCTTCTGGGTTTCAAACTGAATAGTTTTCCGAGCCGCGTCCAGACGTGGCGACTAGGGGACCCGTATTCATCCTTGCTGCTGGCCAGAACAAATGGTGTGCCACATCAGCCCCCGAGCCGGCTCCAAGCTGAAGGAAGAGAGGTGAGGGGGGGCTCCTCCTATTCCTCCTCCCCCTCTTCCTCCTCCTCCTCCTCCTCCTCCTCCTCCTCCTCCTCCTCCTCCTCCTCCTCCCCCTCCTCCTGCTCGGGGCGTGCCGAGCTGGGCGCAGCTGGACTCGCCGCCCGCGGGCTCGCAGGGCTCCTGGCAGTCCACCTCGTCGTTGCTGTGCAGCAAGCGCTGGCGGGTCGCGGCGGGGGCGGAGGGGGAGGGGACAAGCTAGGTGCGCTCGCGTCATATCTGACAGCCAACCCCTCCCTCCCATCCCTTACCATGGCGCAGACCTCCTCTCTATTCGCACAATCGGATGCCGCAGCATGGCACAGCATTACGTGGCATAGCATGGTGTTGAAGATTAACGCGTAGCATGACATAGCATGGCGTGGCGGCACCCTCAAGTGTGTGGGGGCGGCCCCAAAAAACAACGAGTCGACACCGAATGTGGAATCGCATCCGATGGTTTCTTCGGGAGGCCATGTTTTAGATTAGGGGGCCTACTTGGACGGACCGAAAACCATGCCGTGGCATGGCACTGGAAATAATGACGCCAGCGCTACAGCGGGAGCACGATTCGGAACGAGCGGAAGCGCGGGAATGAGGCCAGCGCTGCAGCGGGATCACGATTCGGAACGAGCGGTAGCCCGAACATGAAGCCAGCGTTACAGCGAGAGCAACATGTTTTAACATTACCCTGGCGACGTACCCCAACCCCTCCGCAATGCGGGGCATGAGTAGCTTCGGAGACGTTATACGGAGGTGATGACGTTACATGGGCGCAAATACTTCTGCGTGCGGCATTCGTGAGGCTCGCTGCCCCCCAAGGATTGCGAGGTCCCGCTCGGATCTGAGCGGTGCCTCACTCCGCTGGACTCGCCACCAGCCTTCGAAAGTAGTGTCGGTTTCGCAGATCGCAGCCCCCCAAGGACGGCGAGGTCCCGCTCAGATCTGCGCAGGGGGAGGGGGAGTGGGAGGAGGAGGAGGAGGAGGAGGAGGAGGAGGAGGAGGAGGAGGAGGAGGAGGAGGAGGAGGAGGAGGAGGAGGAGGAGGGGGAGGGGAGGAGGGGGAGGAGGAGGAGGAGGAGGAGGAGGAGGAGGAGGAGGAGGAGGAGGAGGAGGAGGAGGAACGAAAGGGAGGTGGCTTTTCGTCGGCACGGCTGGGTCCGCCCCGAATTTCTGGCCAGGTCGTACCCTGGAGGGGTTGCGGGGACCGACTTTTCAGGGGAGGCAGAGGAGGGGGGGAGGCAGAGGGAGGAGAGAGGAGAGGAGAGATCGGCAAAGTGGGTGCGCTCGCGCCACACCTAACGTCATACCCCTTCCCCCATCCCTCACCGTGGAGCTGAGCCCCCCTCATACTCGCAGAGTCGAGTGTCGAAGGAGACACGGGCCCCGAAATGGCGACTTTGCCCATGAGGGCCCAGAGATCTAGAGATGGGAAGGGCACGAATAGGAACAATGAAACAACGGAACTGCATGAGCACAATGTGTTGGAGCTCCGCGCGGATTTCTTGCATCTACGCTGGACCCCCTCCCTGGCGCGCGGCGCGCGCCAAGGGCGATCAGGGGCGGCACCGCAGGCGCCGCGGAAGCGGGCTGGCGCCGATCCAAGAAGTCCGTGTGGGGTTCCGAAAGTTTATGCTCACGTGTGCGCAGAGTTCCGAAAGTTTATGTTCACGTGTGCATTTTGCAGTTCTTCTGCTTCAAATGAAATTGGCGGAGGATACCTTTTAGAAAAGCATGAAGGAAGCGGAAGGGCGGAGGAGGGAAGAGGAGGAGGGAAGAGGAACGTTGGAGCGTTGGCGGAATGGGCGGGGGGAAGCACTGGGGACGAAGGAGGAAGCCCAGGATGAAGAACAGGAGGGGACCGAAGGGGACAAGGACGGTGGGGAGGAGCTGGACGACAGGGGCCAATGAGAGCACGAAGGATGGCATCCGCATGGGTCGAGCAGCCCTCGTTACCACTTGGTCCAGGCCAAGCGAAGCTTCACAGTGGGCACCGCGGAGACGGGGAGGAGGGGCACGACGAAGACGGAAAGGAGAGGAGGAGGCGCGAGGCCACCGTTCGTGGTAGCCGCCCTCGCAGTAGGGTTACGGCGCAAGCGGAGCCGCCTCCTCTGCCTTCTTCTGTTGCTGCGGGCACGTGTAGTTACCCCAGTAGCCATGTGGTGCCTGGTGAGCCTCATAAGGGAGGTGCCAGTGATGTCTTGAATGGGGACGGGACGGGCTCATGGATGACGATCTATCTGCAGAACTTGACGGCTTGCCCGGCTTTCCCTGTCCACGGTATTGGTACTGGCATCGGTATGCCTCTCCTGCTCCCAGTGGTCATGCTGCTCGTCCTTCGAGCGGTGTCGCTCGCGCGCGCTGCGAGCCCGCGCGCGCGCGCCGCCGTAGCAGCCTCTGGGCCGCCCCTGTGCCGGGCAGCCCCCCGTAGCTCTCCGTGGCGGTGCCAGAACCGCGGCAGGGGACAGGGGGGGCGCCGAAGACCCCCTGCCGCGGGCAAGGCGTCGCGGGCGCCACGGCCACGCGCAGCGCTGCTTGCCGCCATGGCGCGCAGCCGGGCGTCGCGCCTTGCGCCGCAGCTGGGGGCCCTGCGGCCCATCCCCGGGCGCGGGGGGGTAATCCCCGCAGATGGCATTCCCTCCGCCTCCTCCCCTCCTCCTCCTCCTCCTCTTCCTCCTCATCCTCTTCCTCCTCCTCCTCCTCCTCCTCCTCCTCCTCCTCCTCCTCCTGTTCCTCCGCCATGCCCAAGCACACCAGCAAGCCATCGTATGACGGTTGACCTGTCCTGGCAAGGTGAGTTCCCCAGATATGGGGGTGGTCGGGTAGCTGGGAACGCCGCCCCGCCCGCTCGGAAAACCTGCCAGGACTGGAACAGGTCCTTGCCCCCTCCCAGGAGGAGGAGGAGGGCGACGAGGAGGGGGAGGAGGACGAGGGCGAGGGCGAGGACTAGGAGGAGGAGGTGGAAGAGGAGGAGGAGGAGGAGGAGGAGGAGGAGGAGGAGGAGGAGGGAGAGGAGGACGAGGAGGAGGGGGAGGAGGGGGAGGAGGTGGATGCCCCTGTCCACGCCCAGGTTCGGGGAGGCTCGGGCCTTGGGGCCCTGGACTCCGAGGGAGGGTTGCAGCTTTTCGGGCGTTCGTGGGAGGAGACCGTCGCGCTGGGCCGGGCCGGCCGTGCAGCCAAAGCGGCAGCAGCGTCAGCAGCAGCACGCGGGGTGTGACACCTTCAAGCCCCTGCCACGGGCCCCTTGAGTGGTGTCGTTCTCCCTTTTCCCTGCATGTCGAACGGGGTCGCCCCCCTCAACAACTCAAGCTTGTGTGTTACTCCCTCTTCTGCCTCCTCCTCCTCTTCTTTCTAGTTTGCCTCCTCCGTTCTTTTCCTCGCCCTCCCCCTCCCCTTCCTCCATCGGTGATGCATCGGCGACGCATTGCCGACGTCGGCGACGCATCGGCGAAGTTGGCGTGGAGAAAATCTGGCTACGCATCGGGCCGCATCGTCGATGCATCAGCGATGCGGTGCGATCCTCCGACCCCATCTACTCGGATCCCGTCTGGGATGCCTAGAATGACGTAGTTGCGTTCGAATCATAGCTCGGCTATCCGGCGGCTCTTCGGGAGGATCAGGGCACCCCCAGAACGCTGCTGGCGAGGAGCAACCGCTGGGAAACACCGCCAGACTAGAAAATCGCCTAGAACAACGAAAAACAACAAAAAACATTAAACTCGAACATCTGACCCGATCCGTTCCGCGCGGGGGGGGTCCGCCAGTGCGCCCACGGCGAATCCATCCCGCAAAGGCGGCGGCGGCGGCAGGGCGGGGCCTGAAAATCGGCGAAGGCCGAGTGCTCGTCGAGCCCCGGGTACCTTCGCGCGCAAGGGAGGGCGGAGGCAGAGGGAATGTGGGAGGACAGGGGGAGAGGGAATGCGAGGAGGAAGCAGAGATCCAGCAGCATGGCCCTGGTCTGGCGTGGAATTGGACTACGACATTCTCCCTATTGATACAGCGTAGCGGCCGACGCCGCGTCGATCTTTCAGTTTCGGATTCCTGGAATCCCGACCCCTCCCCCAAGGCTGGCTTGCATCCTGAAATGTTTCCTGACGGCCCAAGGCGAGCAAGTGCAGGGACAAATCACCAGGAGCGGGCGGACTGGCGCTCGCACGCACGCGCACGCACGCACGCAGACGCACCGATAGACAACGCGCGCAGACCCAAAATACGAGTCGCACGCGCACGCGCGAGACGCAAGCGACAACGCGTCACGCGCACCACCAAGCCCCCCGCGTACGGCGCAGCAACACGTGGCACTGACCACCTGTCCAGGAGAATCTGCTTTCCAATATACGTGAAGCCCTACGCATGCCAACCTGAATTGGAGGCAGCCGGGGGATGGGGGGTCTGTGCTGGGTGGGCCCCGGGAAGATCGGTCGCGAGGGGGGAAAATTAGTGTTAGGTCGGGCATGTCCTCCTACAGGCGGATTTTGGAGAACAGAATTTTGAAAATATTCAGAACATACTCAACAATAATCAAAAAATAATCGACAAATCGTCCACATACTATTTTCCGGCTATTTTTGAATTTTCCTCCTGTAGAGGGATACGCCCGACTCACAACGCATGCCAAATCCGAACCAATTCCAGGACCCCTCCCGGGGTCCATCTGGAGTCGCTTCTAAAGAATGGCCATCAGAAATGGCTCCAGGGTGAAAGACAAACCTGCCCCGGGCAAGGGGGGCCGCGGATCGAACAACTCATGTCAGCGGATGTCAAGAGACAGGCCACCTGTACCGACGTCAAGAAGTGTCACCTGCATACCTCTGGGGCCCGGAGAGCGCGACTCTGCCCTGGCGGAGCTGGCAACTTACCAGCCTCCCACCTTGCGTCGGGCAGGTGTCCGCGCCAATGTTCTACCCGGCCGCCGCAAACGAATGGAAGGCCTGCTCCGCGTGGTCGTCAAACGGCTGGCGCGCCGGACAGGCGGCAGCGACGCGAAGAATCTCAACGTCGGCCCATAGATACCCAAGCATGCGATGTCCTGATGTTTGAACTACGTGGTCCCGGGCAGCCCCGACCCATTCCCCGCGGCTGGGTTTCATCTCCAGCCGTTTTTACGGTCCCAGGGCCTTGCGAGGGCCACCAGGACCCGGAAACGTCCGAAGACCTCCCGTCGCGAGCCTGTCTGGGTATAGGTAAGCGCCCGACCGCCAGCGCGCGGGAGAATAAACCGCCGACGCCGCGCGCGAACGGCGCGGCGCCCTGCCCGGCACAGGCAGCGCAGGCCCACCGAGGACGTGCAGGCAGCGCGCGAGGCGCGGGGGGCCGCCACCCTCCAAGGTGGGCGAAGCGCGCCAAGGCAGGACCAGACCCGGAGGTCCTGGCGTCGCACCCTTTCGCAACGGGCGAAATCATTAGGGCCCTGTGGCCCTCACGGATCGATCCAGCTCGTAAGATGCCGCCGAAGGATGGGGCCCACTGCTCTGGTCGAATTTTTCCCGAAACAGCGTTTGCACTTAGAGGGTCATACTTGCATCACCACGGAAGTGGACGGGCCCGGCGAAGATATTCCACGTGGTCGTCTTTGGCCGCCTCGTGCGCTGGGTGGACCCAATGGGCTTTGGCCACGTCGCCGCCAGTGGCCGCCTCTAGCTTGCAACACGTATGTTCTCTTTGCCAAACAAATACTAGGATCTACCCCCCAGGATTTAAGCGCCCCCCTTTCGTATTGCAATCTACATATGGTTCTGCCCCATCGTCCATCCGACATATGAACCCATACCATCCCAACCAAGCGGGAACACTTTCCCCTCATCCTTTGCAAAAAACTATGCGCGCGCACTCGTTTACCAAAATCAAAAAATTTGAGAAGTGGCATGCAAAATACGAGACGAAGTGCACACGCGCGCGTCGTCGCGCGCGCATTCCGAAATCTTTCGACAAGCCCAGGCCTCGTAAATATTAAAATCGAATGCCCCGAAAACATACAATAAAACATGAAACGCGCAGCTTGGAAACAACAGTGTTAAAAACTAGTTACGTTCGGGCTCTTGCGGATTTTTGAGACAACCACACGTCTTGTCCAACATATTCACAATTTGTTACCAGACGGGCCTCTCGCGCGCGCATGTCGGAGTCGTTCGAACGCCATTTGCGCGCGTGCTGTCGCGAGAATCCCGTGCAGAAGACGGGACGAAGTGCACGCGCGCGCGTCGTCGCGCGCGCATGCCGAAATCCTTCAAAACATTAGGTATCGTAGAGATTTCGAGATCGAGTGTTCCGAAACATACGAACACCGAACAACACACGGTTGTGCAACATCCGTCTTAAAACTGCCTGCGCTCTCGCTCCTGCGAATTATTGAAGGAACCGCCGGTTCTTCAATCTGTTCATTAAATTCGGTCACGCGGGCCCCTCGCGCCGAACGTCGAAGTGATTCGAACACACTGGCGCGCGCTGGGGGAGGGGGGGGCACGATTCGTGTCAAATAATAAAAATACGATGCGGGCCGCTCTCTTTCGTCGGCCGCGCGCGCAGATTGAACTCCCTCCAAAACCTTCGTCGCCGACGCGACGCGGGATCGCCGTCATCGTCGTCGGCGTGATCATCATCGGCGCCGCCACTGGCCTTGCCGGACTTTTTGTCATCATCGTCGCCAGCATCGCTTCCACCACGATGGCGTCTACAATTGTCGACGTTGCCATGATACCGCGCCCGCCCAAGTCGCCGACTCGCATGGAAGTGTCCGCTGGGAAGCGCCCAGCGGTCAGCGCCACCGCCTCCGTGTTGGTAGCGCCCAAATATCTGGTCGCTGCGCTCGCGAGCATGCGCGGGCTAGCGCGGCCGCAGAGATGCACCAACCAACTCCAAGCACTCATCGTAATCGCCGCCGCATGGGTTTTGCACAAAGTTGCGGGTGGGTGGGTGGGATGATTGCGCGAGCAGTGGAGCGGACAACTCACTGCGAACAGAAATTAACTGCAACACATAGCTTACACCACACAGCTTGCTTCACATAGCTTTCCGCATCGACAGTGCAACCACTCCCTATTTGGACTCCACGCTGGCCACCATTCTTACGATGATAAGATTTGTTCGTGACGTCGGATCTCCAGAGACGCTGCGGCGCCGAGCCGGCCAACGCAGCGCCAGAAGCACTCGCGCGTGGAGAGGCCTCCTCATGCTCCCTCCTCCTCATCCTCGGACTCGTCCTCTTCCGCTTTCCTCCTCCTGCTCCTCCTCGTCCTCCTTGCGGAAGGCGTGGTGGGGAGAGCGGCAAGGGGGCGCGGAGGGGGCAGAGCGCAGGATGAGCACGTGGAGTGGGGGGAGGAGGAAGGACGGAGAGGAAGCGGGAGTGAGGCGGGAGGAGCGCGGCAGAGGGAGTACGACGGAGGGAGGGAGGGAGGGGGGTAGGACCGAGGGAGGGTGGGTGGGGAGGGGAAGCGGCGGAGGGAGAAGGGAGGGAGGGAGAGGGAAGGAGTGGAGGAGGGGACGAGCAAGAGGAGGGGTGACTACCTCATAGACACCAGAACGACCTTGGGAATCCTCATCCCCGCCTCCACCACGACCACTGCAGGGCCTCACGCCGACTACAGTCGACCCGCAGAGTAAGGATAGGCATCCCTCCAGAGGGTGCCCTGGCATCCTTGCCTCCTGGGTCCATCCTTGGACCCTTCCGTTGGCCGCGCCCCGCTCGAAACGCTTCGAAATGGGCGTCCAAGGGCCTTGCATCCTTATCGCGCATCCTGACTCTGCGGGTTGACTGTACTGGCGACCAGTTTCACGACCGCCACCACGACGACTCCTTCGACGCCCACTTCCGCGACGACCACCAGCTGACGGCTACCCCCACCCACTCCTGCGCCGGCCACTTCGGCCACGACTGACGACGACGCAACGGCGGCCCCCCCGCCCACCCACCCCTCCTTTTGCTTCCTTCCCTCCTGCCTGGCCGCCTCTGCCTTCTGGCCGTGCCTCCCCTCGGCGCGCGACCGGGGGGGGGGAGTGACGGGCCTTCCCAGACGGCCTGGACGAGCCACTGGCCTTCTGAGAGAAGCTCTCTGAGCCTTCTCCGAAGAAGACGGCGACGGCTTCTCAGAGGGCCGGAGGGCTTCCGAGAAGCCCCGCCGCCCTCTGAGACGGCCTGCCCGCTCCCACAGAGGAGGAGGAGGAGGAGGAGGAGGAGGAGGAGGAGGAGGAGGAGGAGGAGTCGAGGAGGAGGAGGAGGAGGAGAAGGCGGAGTCGAGGAGTCGAGGAGGAGGAGGCGGAAGCGAGGAGTCGAGGAGTCGAGGAGGAAGGGGGGGTCCCCACTCGGCGCGCCGCAGATCCCCGCGCCCAGGAAGGTCTTCGGCAGCGCCCGCAAGGCTCGTCGGGCACCTCCCAGGCAGTGCTTCTGGGGCCCGCTCGCAGCTCCCAGGCAGCTTCTGGCAGCGCGTCCTGCGCGCTGTATTTGCGTCTGCTTCGCGCTGGCACCAGCAAGTGCCTCGTAACATCTCCTGAGCGCGAGGCAACTGACGCCAGAGTAATGATACGCAGAAGACATCCCACCACCGTGCCAAGCCAGCCAGCCTGGCCCTGGCGTGGTGTATACGCCCTCGTGGCCGAGGCCAGGAGGGTCTATTCACCATACTGGGGCCCGAGATGGTCCTGGCCTGGCACGGTGGTGGTGTACAGACGCCTTCGTCGGAAATGACTCTTAGGGCTTCGCCGAGTTCCGTGTTCGGGTCACAGCTCGGGCCTCCGGCGGCCGTCCGGGACGAGCTGGGCACCCTCGGAACGCCCTCGGCGAGAGCGCATCCCGGGGCTGGAAGCCCGCCGAGAAACGACGAGAGCACCCAAAGACCTCAAACCTCGCACCCGAAACTTCCAAACTTCCCCCTCGGCGAGCCGCCGAGAAGTGGCCAGGGTGGGCCCCTCTTCCTCCCTACCCCCACCTCCTCCCGCTCCTCCACTCTCCCCCTCCTCCTCCTCCTCCTCCTCCTCCTCCTCCTCCTTCTCTTCCTGCTCCTCCTCTTCTCTCTCTCTCTGCCGTGAAGTCACCCTGACGAGGCCATCTCCTCATCCTCCTCCTCCTTCTTCTCCTCCTCCTCCTCCTCCTCCTCCTCCTCCTCCTCCTCCTCCCCTCCTCCTCCTCCTCCTCCTCCTCCTCCTCCTCCTCCTCCTCCTCCTCCTCCTCCTCCTCCTCCTCCTCCTCCTCTCCTCCTCCTCCCCCCCCCTCCTCCTCCTCCTCCTCCTCCTCCTCCTCCTCTCCTCCTCCCTCCTCCTCCTCCTCCTCCTCCTCCTCCTCCTCCTCCTCCTCCTCCTCCTCCCCCTCCTCGTAGAGTTTCCCGCTTCTGCCCACACCCCGGGACGCGGCGTCGGGCCAGGCCCAGGGCCAGAGAGAGGGGCCAGAGGCCAGGGGCGCGGGCCCGATGCCGAGCGATCCCGAGCGAGTGGTCGCCCTCTGCTTGGCTCAAATGGTCGCTTCCCAGACATGCGACGTCTTTTCGCTACCCAGAGATCCGAGGCCCCCGCAACAAAAATCAACGCCCAATTCTGGATGGTTTGCGGCCCCCTGGGGCCTCCTTCAACGGGCCCTGGGACCCTCAACACAGGCTCAGGATGAACAACCTGCCCCAGGGAGAATTGTCCAGCCCCCCAGTGGGGGACCACGCATTGAAGAAAATGGAGCGCCAGATGTCTGGGGACGTGCGATGTCCTGACGTCCTCTTTCTGGCCCCCCCACGAAGGTCCCGAAGAGGAGGAGGAGGAGGAGGAGGAGGAGGAGGAGGAGGAGGAGGAAAAGGAGGAGGAGGAGGAGGAGGAGGAGGAGGAGGAGGAGGCGGGCCTGATTTGACGTGATTTGTTTACCTCCCGACGTGATTTGTTTACCAACAAAGCCTGTTTGGGCTCGATCCCCAGAGCAAATGATCACTTCGAGCCCCAGAGCTGACCTCCTCACCACACGGCCCCTGGTGGCCACCCGTCCTGAAGCTGAACGGGTGCCCCGGGCCGCGGGAGTAGGAAGGATGGGATAAGGGGGGAGGGGAGGGAGGGAGAGAAGGAACGATTAAAAAAGCCTGGCCTGGGAGTTTTGTTCCTTGTGCGCTATGAGCGATGTGCGCCGCGAGTGCCACCATTCCTGCCCTTAAAGAGGCCAGGCCCACGCGATGATTGAGGGCGGAACCCCGGACCCACTCGGGCGCCCCTGGTCGGGGGGCTGGGAGGGCGGGAGGGAGGGAAATGGGGAGGAAGGGAACAGCGAGAACGAGAGAGATTCACAAAGTGATGGGAGAAGGGAGGAAGGAGTAAGGGAACGAGGGAGGGAGCGATAAGGGAGGGCATGGAGGAGGGGAAAAAGGGGAGGAGAGAGGAATGTCTGGGGCACCAATCCGGGTGGGAATGGATGCCGTCCGTCATTGCCCATTTGACCTTCTTGTAGCACGCGTCGCCCTGCACAGCCGTCAAGCAACCTGGCCGAGGGAGCAAAGGCTGCACAAGATTCCAGCTCATCCCCTCCCTCCCCCCCTCCTCCCTGAGAGACAGAGAAACGGCATAACCAGAAACTTTCGGACGTCCGCGTGGATTTCTTGGATTGGCGCTGGACCCCCCTCCCTGGCGCGCGGAGCGCACCCAGGGGGTCCAACGCAGATCCGAAAAATCCGCGCGGACCATCCGAGAGTTTATGCTCATGCAATTGTATATTCCTCGTCAATCCCTCCCTCCATGCAGGCCTCCCATACTGGGCCCAGAGGAGGAGGGGCAGGATGAGGAGGAGGAGGAGGAGGAGGAGGAGGAGGAGGAGGAGGAGGAGGAGGAGGAGGAGGAGAAGGGGCAGGAGGAGGAGGGACGAGGAGGAGGGGGAGAGGAGAGGAGGAGGAGGAGGAGGAGGAGGAGGAGGATAAGGAGGAGGATAAGGGGGAGGAGGGGGAGGAGGAGCCCCACCCTGCTGCGTCCAGCTTGTCTGGCCTAGCGGAGCAGGCCTTGCAGCTTAGGCGAACGCCTGATCGAAACACGGAGCCTGCCCTGTATAACCTGCTGGGCGAATTGCTGAGAAACGGGAGGGGAGGCACGCAAGACTTGAAAGGATGAATGGATGGCATCTAACGCAACAATTTAGCTGGGCAGAGCATCGGGGCCAGAGAGGTGGAAAAGGTGAGGGAGGAAGGAGCTCAGAGGATCTTCGCCATAGTCTTCAGGAAGAGCAGGGAGGAGGCGTAGAAGAACGGGGCGACATACTCCACAACTCAAGTAGTGGAGGACATCATCGCCTCAAACACAAGAGCATCCAACAACACATATACCTGGTCCTTGACGGTACCGCCCCGTTGTGTTCCAGCTGTTGAATATGGTTTTAAGCAGCCCCACGAAGATAAACCCAGGAACAATCTGAGCAGCCCGAAGAACACGAATAAAACACAGGTCAAATTGGTGATCCGAAATACAGGGAACCACTGTTTGATCCTCGGGTACAGGGGGGAGGACAGCGGGCTCGGATAAGCATCAACGGAAATCATAACGGCCAGTTTGTTTCTGCGCCTTCTTGGATACTCAAGGGTCGGAAAGCCTGGATATATATATATATATATATATATATATATATATATATATGGGCGACCCGTAGTCCTCCATCAACTGCACAAATAGGGAGGGCCGATACTGCATATCATATCTATAGGTGAGGAGGAACCCATCCGACTCTAGGACCTCGCGAAGTTCATCTCGAAGGCTGAGGAAGAGGGACGAGTTGTGGGCTACCCTGAGTCTGGCAGCGCGGCTCTGCACCTCGAGGGAATTCGCTTGCGCACCTAGGCCGAGTTGCTGAAAGCGATGAAAGAGGCCAGGCGGGAAAGAATGGCGAGGGCTGCACGCGTACAGTTGGTGAGATTCCCTCCCCATGCGGAGCGCGAACTTGTTCGGCCGAAAGTCCTGCCCAGTATAGGAGGACACATGGAGGACATACCTGCTGCGGGCTACGAGACTGGCAACGAGCCCCCCCCCCCCCCCCCCCCCCCTTCCTCAGACTTTTTACCAGGTGGGCCCGTGCCGTGAGTTTCATACCAACCGATTTCCAGGAACGCTCCAGACCATCGGCTCCGAGAATAAATCCAAGGTGCTGCCCAAAGAGCTGAATCTTAAATTTGTGCACCTTAATCCCTGCCTCTTTAAACTTGGCAATTGCATTCTCCAGCTTGCCAGGGCCAGTGAGGATTATGGCGCACTTGGCCGTGTTCAATATCAAGCCCGGGGAGAAGCCAAACTGCGCGATGGCTTGGGTGACAGGACCAAGCGCGTGAAAAAAATATCGGCGGCCACCAAGCCGATGTCGCCAGCGAACGCGGAGACCTGCCTCGGCAAGTCCGCGGGGGTCCGCCCGATGCACCGCAGCAGCGGATCTAGGCAGAGAACAAAGAGAACACCAGATAATGGGCAACCTTGCGCAACTCCTCTCAAGGCCTTGAATGAGTACCTTGGGGAGTGTGTGGGGGGGGGGGGGGGGGGGGGGGGGCGCGGAATTGAATCCGGCAAATCATATTCGGGCAGAGAGTCATAATCGCTATGATGGTAAATTCAGGGAACCGATAAGACCGCACAACTGTCCAAACCCACTCGTGCAATGCGGACGGGAAGGCAGCGCGAAAATCCTAGAGGCATGCACCGCAATCTCTATGGCCGAGGACGGTCTTCCATAGCATCATGTTAAAGTCAACCTCTAGCACATTGTCCTTGCTGATCCTCCCCTTAGCGAATCCTCTCTGCGACGAATGCCCCCGATCAGCTAGTACTCGCGCCGTGGGCGATGCGACCAGCGACGAAACGAGCTTGCCATCGGCGATAGATAAGGCTATTGGACGTGTTTCCTCGGCCCCCTTCAGGACATTCCCAGGGTCATCAACTTCACCTTTGGCAAGGAAGACGAGCTGAGCGGCGTTGCACTCTCGGCTCGCGCTGCCGCCGTCTAGGACGTGCTCGCAAAGCTCGAACAACGCTGCCTGTGCCACTGGTCCAGCAGCTATCCAGGCGCTGTAGCGCAGGCCGTCAGGTCCTGGGGCAGAATCCTTTCTCCTGCGCAGGAGGTCCAGGAACTGATCGAACGTTTTCTTCCAGGGAAACCTCTGGTGCGTCGAATTAGTGCATTGGTACTCGTCAGGGCCCATGGGGGGAGCAAGCTCCAGAAATCTGCCCCCCGGGATCCACGGTGCCATTCCAAGCGCCAAAGACAGAGCCCCAATGGGAACAAAGCAGCTGCGCGCCGACCGAGGGCTCGGAGTGGGCGAATCCGTTGTGGTCCACGATCCCACAGAGACAGATCGTCCTCTGATTGGATTTCCAAGCTTTTGCCAGCCGCCTAATCCTCATCAAGTGAAAGTCCGCATTGTGCTGGGGGATGCCCCCAGGGTCCCTGAGGTTCTCTCTCCTCCTGCCGCGCAAGCTCCTGATTCATGAGGGAGGAGAGGTGGGTATGGAATCTAGACCATTCGTTCCAAATCATATTCTCGTGACCGTAGAAGGTGAGGAGGATGGGGTAAGCCTGCGCTGCTTCGGCTGCTGCTTTACAAAGCCCAGATCTGCGTGCACGGACCAGTCTGAGACAGCGCGCCAACTTCTCCGCCAACGAGGAGGCCGAGGCCTTAAACATGTCGGCCTTGGCGCGATTGCCAGCAGCTGTGATCAGCAACTTGACTTCCTCCAGCTTCTCAGCTGGGTCGGCGCTGAAATCTGGACCTTCTGCAAGGTCTTCAGAGTACTTCGCGAAAACATGGCGCGTGAACACCCAGGGCGGAAGGTGCGTCTCGCGGCGCGGCTTCCACGGCTGGAGCGAGGAGGCACGCAGGGGCGTGATCGGAGGGGAAGGTGAGATCGGTGATGTTCTATATTGTGCTACAGGTAGGGCTTAGGTCTAGAAGTTCAGGAGCGGGGGTGCTGCAATAGATTCGGTCCAGTCTACCATAAGATATGGGCCCCGTAGGCTGTGTGATAACACGACGATGTGCGTAATGAGGTTGTTCAAGCTCAGCGCGGTGAGGAAAGAGAGAGAGCGAAATCGAACGGCACGCCTGGCGGACACGAAGCGCTGGGCCCCGTGAGTGACATTGAACCCACCTTCCCCGGACTCATGACAGTTGAAATCCCCAAGGATGAAGGACGTGGAGTTCAGAGCGGGCCTCAGGAGGGATTTAATACCCAGAAACTGCCTTCGGACCGCGGTGTCAGGAAGCTCGGGGTCAACGTGAACATTGACGATTTGTAACTCCCTTGGAACCACTGAGATTCAAAACTGCAGCCCGGCCTGGCACAGGCTCCTGGAAGCCGGAGTAGGGGAAGTCTCTCAGCAACTCGCTGGCGACAAAAATGAGGAGGCCACCAGCACAGGCACGCGAGCAGAAAGAACCAAAGACAGAGTGATACCTGAATTCGCGTTGTAGATGCGGCGGGCCCCCTGGAGCACCATGAGCTTCTTGAAGACACACGATCGGATTTCGCTGAAGGACGGCACGAAGCTTATGAAACTTATGTTGAACACGAATTTGGTCGGCATACATCGACCCAACGAGGGCCTGGGAATTCCATGTCGTTATCCGAAACGCCTTGTGAGGTATGTAGTAAGAACATTGGGAGGAGGGGGGCGGAAAATCTGATGCATCTGCTCTGTTACTGGCTAGCGGCGAGGGAGGAGAGCAAAAACACAGGGCGGCATAGAGGCACCAGTCAGGGCGCAGCAAACCCCGCGCTTAGCCGAGCCAGTGCTCCCAAATTCAGGACCGAGGTGCCCTGCATTCGCCGTTCAAAGAGCGGCGATGAGCCCGTCGATCATGTCCTTGGTGATGTCGAAATGCAGCAGGCTCGGGTAGATCGGCTCTAGCTTGAACGTGTCCTCCCCCTGCTGCACTGTCTGCACCAATTCATAGACGTCGTCATCCATTATCACCTGCAATACACCTTTGTGCCCATTGACTCCGAGTTTGCAACCGCCCGTCCACGAGCGACTGGCCTGCAATTTCGTGAGTACATCGCAGAAAAGTCCTGAGAAGGCCCTCTTCTTCTGGCGAACGTGGAGCGGTAGGTCGCCTCTGACCCTGAGGGGGTATTTCTTGCCATCGCGGAAATCTGCCCACTCCATGTTTACGTCGTTCATCTTGGTCTGGAAATTCTTCGCGTCGTCCTCGTTGACAAACCTCAGCTTGTAGACCTGGCTCACTCCGTGGAAGACGGCCGTTACCCGCTGGTCGTCCTTGAGCTCGGGGAAGTGTTCCTGCATCTGTCGCCAGTGGGCCAACCGCGTCTTCATCAGCAGCGGTCTCGGGAAAGTACCCACGAAGCGGATGCACGGGTCGCTCTCGAGGTCGATAACAGGTGTCACCTTCCTCGCTTTGTCCCCATGAAGCTGTCGAACTGAGGGACCACTGCTCAAAGGAGATTGAAAGCTGGGTGCAGTTCTTGAATTCCCTGTCGTACTGCCGTTGTTCTCGAG